TAAGTCATTAAGGGATCTGTGAGGTGATATTTTAAGGCTATGACCATCCTGTTCCTAAGTCTTTCGCCTTCTGCTTTTAGCATCCACTCACAATTCTTGGTTGCATTGATTACTACCTGGTGGTGAAGGTATTGTTATTTACTATTTTCAGATAAAAAGACGAGGCTCAGAAAGTGACCTGAGCAAGGTGTCACATGCCTGGCCAGGCTAGGAGACAGACCTCATGCTTCCTGCCCTGAGCTTGGCACTGTGGCCGTTCCATGATGACCATGTTTTTATCGGAATCTCCTAGATTATATCGCGGTGGTTTACCTTTTATGAACCTCTATTCACTGCCTTCCCTCCTGTTTGCATGTAGACACCTTTCTTAGAAAGGATTCGTTTCTGTTAATCTCATCAAGTTCTATCGTAGGTTGAGTTCCCTGGAAGGAGAGCCTGATTCAGGGCTTCTTGTGCAAGTGATTCAGGAGCAGCCTGCCAAGGAGTGAGGGATCCAGGATGGGACAGGGAGGAAGCAAGGCAAAGATGTGGGCTCAGCCTCATCCCACAGGGAGCTCAGCAGCATGAATATCTCCCCAGAGTTGTCACACCTTCAGGCTGGAAGGCCACTCTTCTCCATCTCACGTATGTAGAAAGTACATATCAGTATGTCATTGGCAGTGGGTCTGCTCTCAGGGAGAGGATGTAGCTTCCTGGGCATTTCCAGGAGAAGAGGGGCAGCTGTGAGCTTTCCACAGCCAACACTCACAGCAGCTGGGGCATGGGTGCCTGCCCTAGAGGACGGGCTCTAAGTGGGGCACCAGTAGCGTCCCCTACATGCTCAATGTTCTCGCATTAGTTCTTTCCTGAAGGTTTTCCCTGCTAAAAGCCAGTTTGTCCTGTAATAATATGCTAGAAACCCCAGGTGGCTGGCTGAATCAAGGAGTTAGCCTAGTCATTTGCAAAGGCAAGGGTAGTTTATGGATGCTCCTTTATGAGGTCCTGTGAATCTTATTCACCACCTTCCTGTCTGGGCCCTGGTGTTTAGGCTGAGGTCACTTGTCAGAACAAAGGCTTTTCAGTTCCTTGAAACCACTGAGGAATCACAGGATGTGCCCTTCTAAGGCAGGAAGATATGTCAACATGTTTACTTTCAGCACACATGAGCGTCACGATTGTCATGTTCCACATCATCCAATTTGGTCTTGGCAAAATATGGCCAACCCGAGATGGCAGTGATAAAATATTTATTTACACGCCAAGAATTCTTTCAGTGGCATGCTGCCCATCCCACGCCCCCAGCCCCTAACAAAACAAAAACAAATCGCTAATTGGATCTGAGTTAATATGCACGTTTTACACTTGGATCTCAGGCCAGTGCTCCTCACAGTGCTCTCTTCAGCTTGGCAGTATCGGTGTCACTGAGAGCTTGTTAGAGATGTGGTGTCTCTGGCTCACTCCACACCTGCAGAAGCTCAGAGTCTGAAACCAGGAATCTGTGGCTTAACAAACCCCAAGTGACTTTCACACAGGCTCTCAAGTTTGACAAGCACTGATCTAAAGCAGTGGTTGTAAACTTAGCTGCACATTGGGATCCCCTGGGGAGTTTTTTGTTTTTTTTTTTTTTTTTTTTTGGAGATGGAGTCTTGCTCTGTTGCCCAGGCTGGAGTGCAGTGGCACAATCTCGGCTCACTGCAACCTCCACCTCCCAAGGTCAAGCCATTCTCCTGCCTCAGCCTCCTGAGTAGCTGGGACTATAGGCATGCGCCACCACACCCAGCTAATTTTGGTATTTTTAGTAGAGACGGGGTATCACCGTGTTGGCCAGGCTGGTCTTGAACCCCTTACCTTCGGTGATCCCCTGCCTTGGCCTCCCAAAGCGTTGGGATTACAGGCATGAGCCACTGCACCTGGCCTTTTTTTTTTTTTTTTGCTTTGAGACAGGGTCCTGGTCTGTGGCCCAGGCTGGAGTGCAGTGGCACGATCTCCACTCACTGCAACCTTCGCCTCCCAAGTTCAAGTGAGTCTCCCACCCCAGCCTCTCAAGTAGCTGGGACTACAGGTGCCTGCCACCACACCTGGCTACTTTCTGTATTTTGGTAGAGACAGGGTTTCACCATGTTGGCCAGGCTGGTCTCGAACTCCTGGTCTCAGGTAATCTGCCTGCCTTGGCCTCCCAAAGTGCTGGGATTACAGGCATTAACCATGGCGCCTGGCTTTTTTAGGTGATTTTTATCGGCAGCCAGGGCTGAGAATCACTTGTCTAAAGCTGGCTCTTTTACCTTCTATCAAAGGAATTTTAACACCAGCTTCACTTTGAAAAGTATGTTTTGTTAACTGCAGATATTCACTTCACAATACCTGCAGGGCCTTCTGGCATTTGCAGAAGGAGAAACTATTCTTTTGGCACAGTCTCCTACCTGGAAACTTGTAGCAGAAGTTGAGGACAGCTTTCACATATTTGAGAAGAAATAAAAAGATGAACATTGAACGAATGAGTGACAGTCCTTAGACGTGCAGAAAGTCACGAAGGTGAGGGGAGAAGTTAGAATGTGGTCTCTGCCCAGTCCACATGCCAACACTGGGTATTATTATTGAGTCTTCAATACCCAAAAATGATCAGCATAGGTTGGCTTCTTCTAAATTCAGTCCCACTTCTTACGAGTAGAGTTGTCCATGTGGAAATATCATACTTCCTTTCTTTAATTTCCTTTCCGTAACTTTCACCGTACATTCAGTTTCATTATCCATCCTTCTCAGTGCTAGAGACGTTCTCTAGGTCACATAGTTGAGTTCCTTTGAGTTTAGAGGTTTGAAGACCATATGGACCCCAAGCTAAACCTACTTGTTTGAACATGAATGGTCAGGTCTGGTGTCCCTTGGCTGCCCCAGGACAAGGCTTGATGACCTGCTCCTTGAGAGCCAGGGAAAGTGTCAGTTCTGAGTTTGGTAAAGGGTGAGAGACCCCAGAGCAAAGCTGCCTTGGATGGGAATGTCAGCCCTTCCGCCTGACCAGGGGCTTGACCTTGAGTAAGATCCTGACCTGAGCTGAGCCTCTCCTGGTCCTCTGTAAAACTGGCATCATGGTGCCTGTGGTTCAGGGCTGTCGAGGGGAGCAAATGAGAGAATGTGGGTAAAGGGCTTGGCACACAACAGCCACTACATGCATACAAACTGACTTGAGTCCCGGACCTGACTTGGTACCCACAACGTTGGATACATAGCAGAGTAGGTGTGATTTCTAGCTCTGCTGCTTCAAGGCTGTTGTAACCCAGGACAGCTCAGTCGCTTCTTAGGCCTCAGTCTGCTCATTGGTAAACGGAGGATTAAACACTCCCTGACAGAACCAGTATTGGAACCACAAGATGTCAATTTGATCTGGTCTGTAAGATATAATTCACATACCACAAAATTCACCCTTTTAACGTGTATCGATACTTTCATGGGTTTTTAGTACATTCGCAAATTGTGCAATTATCATCACTATAAAACCGGAAGTTTTCGATCGCCCCAGAAAGAAACCTGGTACTGTTTGCCATCACTCCCCATCCTCATTTATCTCCCCCATTCTCCGGCACCCACCAATCTACTTTGTGTCTCTATGGATTTGCCTCTTCTGGGGATTTCATGTAAATAGAGTTATTCAGCATGTGACCTTATGTGTCTGGCTCCTGACACTGAACATAATGCTTTTGAAGTTTATGCATGTTGTAGCCTGCATCAGTGCTTCATTCCTGTCTATGCCTGAATAATATTCCATTGGAAGGATAGATTACTTTGTTTTTCTTCTGTTTTTGAGACAGGGTCTCACGCCTGTTGCCCAGGCCGGAGTACAGTGGTGGGATCATGATTCCCTGCAGCCTTAACCTCCCCAGGCTCAAGTGATCCTCTCACCTCAGCCTCCCGAGTAGCTGGGACTACAGGTGCACATGACCACTCCTGGCTGACTTTTTTATTTTTAGTAGAAACAGGATTTCACCGTGTTGTGCAGCCTGGCCTCAAACTCCTGGGCTCAAGCGATCTGCTTGCCTCAACCTCCCAAAGGGCTGTGATTACAGGCATGAGCCACCATCTCCGCCACATTTTCTTTATCCACTCATCAACTGACAGACATTTGGGTGTTTCTACTTGTTAGCTGTTATGAATAATGTCGACATGATTTTACAAATAGCGCAGCATCACTCCACTGTGAAGTTTTATTATAAATAATGTCAGTAATAAAAAGGCTTAGATTCGTGAGAAGAAATACAATCCAATCATTCTGGTACAAAATAAATGTGTGTGAGTGCATTTGCCTTTAGGCTGGGCATGCTTGTGCTTGTGAGAAATGCTACTGAGCATTAGGAACTCATGGTTACCATCCATGCTATTTCGCATTTAAGGTTCTGTCCTCAAAGTTAGAAATGCTTTATGCCGGCCAGGTGCTGTGGCTCACGCCTGTAATCCCAGCACTTTGGGAGGCCAAAGTGGGCAGATCACCTGAGGTCAGGAGTTTAAGAACAACCTGGCCAACATGGTCAAAGTCCGTCTCTATTAAAAATACAAAGCTATCTGGGCATTGTGGTGGGCACCTGTAATCCCAGCTACTCAGGAGGCAGGAGAAGCCCTTGAACCCAGGAGATGGAGGTTGCAGTGAGCCGAGATCGCGCCACTGCACTCCAGCCTGGGCAACAAAGCAAGACTCCATCTCAAAAAAAAAGAAAAATGTTTTATGTCGGAAGACAAAGCCTGAATAAATGGCATTTAGGATGCTTAGAACCTTTTGAAAATGGGGTTAGGAATAGAAAGTCAGGTCTGTCCAGGGAAAAGTGTTCTTTTTATTATTAGAGATGATATAGGGTAAAATAAAACATTGTGTCTGCCCTCAGAAAGCTTTCAATCTGGAAGAGAAGATCATTAGGAGGCGATCACAAGATGGGATATGTGGGCGGCAACTCTGGCCTATGAGCCTGTGGGGACGGTCTCCTTGTTACGGAAATGGTACCGCTGCCAGCTGACCCTGCCGCTTCTCTTTCTCCTAGCATGGTAAGACACAAGGATGATGGCTATTCTGAGGAAGAGGACGTGAAGGCCTGTACCCGGGACTCAGGCTATGACAGCCTCTCCAACAGGCTCAGCATCTTGGACCGGCTCCTCCACACTCACCCCATATGGCTGCAGCTGAGTCTGAGTGAGGAGGAGGCAGCAGAGGTCCTGCAGGCCCAGCCTCCGGGGGTAAGACTCAGAGCCACGGGAGGCAGGTCGAGGCAGGCAGGACTGCCGCTGGCCGAAAGAAAACACTTGAAGTTAGTTCCAGAAAGTTCTTCCCAGCTTGTAGGGAGCACGTTTCCTGATGTGTAACTGGTTTGCAATGCAGAGCAATTCTGGAAACAGAGCCCAGGAACAGAGCCCTTCATGATGTGTCTTTCTGTCTATCTGCTCAATTACCATAGGAGGCACAAGGACCCAGCAGAGTAACTGGGCATCTGAGTAGGGGCCGCTGGCCAGAAGCTTGGGTCTGACCTCTTGAGCCTGAACTCTGAGGAGAAGCCTGGGTCTGGGCTCCTTGGTGGCCTCTGCTGCCTTCTTCTCTTTCTGAGCCTGGGAGCAAGGCCAGGGTCCAGCCATCCAACCTGGGACCCAGCCTTCAAAAGTTCTGTGTCCGCAGACTTGCCTGCTCTGTAGTCCTCTTTTCTCTGGGCCTTCCACACGGACGAAAGTCTAATTTGGTTTTCTCAGCTACTGTCCATCCAAGACCACTGTCCGTCCCATCCACACCACTCCACAACTTGCGGAAGGTCCTCAGAAAAGCGTGGTGGCTCACGCCTGTAATCCCAGCACTTTAGGAGGCCAAGGCGGGTGGATCACTTGAGGCCAGGAGTTCAAGACCAGCCTGAGCAACACAGTGAAACCCCGTCTCTACTAAAATTACAGAAATTAGCCCAGTATGGTGGCACACGCCTGTAATCCCAGCTGCTCGGGAGGCTGAGGCAGGAGAATCACTTGAACACAGGAAGTGGAGGTTGCAGTGAGCAGAGATTGTGACACTGCACTCCAGCCTGGGCGACAAAGAGAGCATATGTGTACAGTGTCTGCTTCCAAAGGATAAATACAGTAAGTCACAGATAAAATAAGACTTAACACATAACACAAGATAGAGACTAACAAGAGGATGGAGAAGCAAGGAGAAAATCCTCTTTGTAGGTGGCTGAGTAATGTCATAAGAATTGCGCACCAAATACATTTTTGAGTTTCCTAGCAGTCAGAGTTAAAAAACATGTGAATCTTTTTTTTTTTTATTCCTAATCAGGCAGAAACAGGCAGAACTAAGACCTCTGCTAGAACATGTTCAGGGGGACGTGGCATGGTGCTTTCCCATCTTTGCAGAGAATCCCTTGGCCAAAACACAGAGCTGCTGCCTCTAGTTTTGCTCCATAGGACCAGGATTTCCCCACCTTCTGTGAAGACTCACTTTCAGCCAGTTGAATTGTCTGCTCTTGCATTTCTGCAAAAAATTCTGAAGACAGAAGATGCTGCAGAGCTAGGCAATGGCCTGCCCAGCTCCCCATCCCAGGGTAGGGCACGTCCACTCCTGCTGAGACCTGCCTGAGAAACAAGCCAGGCATGTCCTCTCCATCCGCCTGCCTGATCCCTGCACAGGACCTGCCTGATGAGATTGGGCAGGTTGAGGGCAGGGCCAGGACAGGAGTAACGTGGACCAGGACAGGCAAGCATGAGGAAGGGAGAGGCCAGGCGTGGTTGGTCAGGCCTGTAATCCCAGCACTGTGGGAGGTCGAGGTGAGCAGATCACTTGAGGTCAGGAGTTTGAGACCGAGCTGGCCAACATGGCAAAATCCCGTCTCTACTAAAAATACAAAAATTAGCCAGGCGTGGTGGCATGCACCTGTAACCCCACCTACTCTGGAGGCTGAGGCAGGAGAATCACTTGAACCCAGGAGGTGGAGGTTGCAGTGAGCTGAGACCTCACCACTGCACTTCAGCCTGGGCGACAGAGCCAGACTCTGTCTCAAAAATAAAATAAAATAAAATAATGAAGAGAGAGAAAAGAAAGTGGCTGAAAGTGTGTGAAGGACGAGGACTGGAGAGACTGGCCACGGTGGCGTGAGTGAAGTGGGCTTTTGGGGTGCGTCTCTGTAATGATTCTACAGTCTAAGATAGGGGTCCACCAACTCTTTCTGTAAAGGGGCGAAGTGTAAATATTTTTGCCTTTGCAGGCCACACAGTCTCTGTCACAACTATTCCACCATGCCATAGTCATGCAAAAGCAGCCGTAGACAATGTGTAAAGGACAGAGCATGGCTGCATTTCAGTCCAACTCAGAAACAGATGGCAGGATGGATTTGGTCTGCAGGCCAGACTTTGCCAACCCCTGATGTAATGTAAGGCTGCAGTCCTCCAAAACATAGGGCCTAGCGGTTGTACTGCTCAACCCCAAGGCTCAGGGAGCTCTCCACCTGCAGCCGGGAGGGATACTTCCTCTCCTAACCACCAACAGCTGCCTCTCCACAGTGCTTTGGCCTCTTACCCATCGGGACGCTATTTAGGAAGCATGTGCTTCAGCTTTAGGGTGTCCCAGAGACACCGACTCCCAGAACCTGCTGCTGGATGAATCCTATGGACGCATCCCCGTGGTGCCAGGAGAAAAGAGATCTCAAAGGTCTCCCGTTTCATTCTTCACCAGACACACAATTCCCATACCCATCTTCCCATCCCCCAAATAAGGTATCTTAGGAGCTATTAACTGGACATAAAGAGAGGAGCAAAGATTAGGCAGGAACAAAATGAGAGGGTGTAGAAAGGTAGGGGAGAGGTAGAGAGTAAGGTGTTTAAGTGCAGAGGAAAGAGAAGCAGCTAAAGAAACATGACAGACAGAACAAGATCCTTGGAGAAGGGTCATGCACCACAGAAGAGAACCAGGACTCAGCTGGGCTGCCACATGCCACACTCCAGAGAAAGTCCCTTCATTGGTACGCTAGGTGAATGGTGCCTCCTGGAGTTGTGCAGTGCACGGCCTGCATAACAGTACACGGCATACTTACCTCTGCATTGATGAGGGCCAGAATGGTGTCCTCAGATCAGCACTAGGAATTGGACTGTTTTAAGCACTTGTCTAAAGACACCATTAGCATCTTGAGGGAACTGGTGGAATGTGAACTGAGTCAGGAATAAATGAACAGCCTCCATGTTCACTGGGGTGAACTTCAGAGTGCATCCACCCCCAAACAAATGGAACAGCCATCTTCAGCTCCACTAGATTGTTGCCTGGTCTTGCTGTATCACCTCATTTTCCAAGAGGAGCTAGAAATTCAGATTGCAATTTGAAAACAAAAAAACAAAGCAATGTCTGCTTTTTCACTGTTGGCAAACAAACTTAAATTTCTATTGTAAATATCCTCATAAACTGAATTAACCAATGAACTCCCAATTCACCACCTATGGTTTAGCCATGTTACCTGTGTTTAGAATTTAGGTCTTATCAACAAGATACGTAAGACAGGGTTTGGAGACTGTAACTCATAGTAGACTCATCATACAAGACAGAAGCTGCAACGTGTAACTCCAGCAGTAAAACAGTCACCAAACTGAAAATGCTTATGCGGACCAGGGGAGTTCTTAGCCCCATGGAGAAGCTTCTGTCAGAGGGAAAGCAGGATTCTTTTCAAGCCAGTAATCAACAAAGGTGTCTGCAGCCTGGGCTCTGAGCACCCCTTTCTAGGACGGGAGAGATTCCTGCATGGAGCCAGGCAGTTTAGGGTTGCTATTCATCGGGTGTGAGGAAAATCGGATGCTTGGGTTCCACCATTCTGGATGTTTCCTAAAGCTTGTATTTCTTTTCTCTCCACTAGATCTTCCTGGTTCATAAGTCTACAAAAATGCAGAAGAAAGTCCTCTCCCTCCGCCTGCCCTGTGAATTTGGGGCCCCACTCAAGGAATTTGCCATAAAGGAAAGCACATACAGTAAGTGGTCCTTGGATGCCCAGGTCCTGACTGACGTGAGGGCCACGGGGCTCTGCGGGGAGTGGAAATGGAAGGAGCTCTGGTTTTGAGATGGGCAGACATGGGTCTGAGTCTTGGCACTGAATGACTAGGGCAGATAACCTACTCCAGGAACCTCAGTTTTCTCATCTGTATAATGGGGTGATGGTAACCTCTGAGTTGTTAACAACGAGTCATACAACCTGAATGTAAAGTATGCAGCCTACTGCATGGCATACGGTGGGGTACGAATAGAGGTGGACTTCCACTCCCCCTACTCGGTTAAGCGGATCATGAATTCAGTTCCCGGGTTTGCTGAGGACTAAGCTGCAAGGGGGCTGTAGTGAGAGAGCCCTTTCATGGGATCTAATGCTAAAGCTTGTGTCTGCATATCTTCATGAATAAATAGTCCCTGAGCAGACCTGTTCCCTCCAGACAATCGCTGTTCAGTCTTCTATGAAACGCAGCTAATCAGAGGCAGAATCCAACCTTTTGGCGAACATTTTGAAGGGAGAGCAGTGTTCAGTAGTGTTGATTTTCTTTCTGCTGTTCCGCGATTGGTCATTAGAAATGTGAAGTGTCGGGAGGCCAAGTTTTAAATAAAAAAAGGAACACGCAGTTCTGATGTACTGCCAGCCTCCAAGAAAGGATCGGAAGATGGATCTGCACATCAAAGGGGAGGAGGCTTCACTGGGAACCTCGGGTGAGCAGTGGGAGGAGCAGGCCAGGAGGAGAGAGCTCAGAAGCCAGACAGAGCCTGGGATTCCCACTGGCTTCCCGATTTCCCACCACCTCGCCTCCTGCGTTTGGAGAAGCTGAAGGTATAGATGGAGGTCAGTTTCAGGGCTGAGATGAGATTCTACTCAGCCGGGAGGGCACAGTCTTGCTGAGCCAAATGACCTTTAACTGAGTCAGTGGAGGGTAAAGCTTGCCAGGCTGTCTGTGATCCACCTCTGGCTCAGCTGTCAACCTGGATCTCACAAGGCCACAAAGTCATGGATGCCAGGGAGAAACCTCCCCCTGAAAGGCACATGAGCAGACAGAACCCAGCCAATAATGTAAATACATTAGGATGCAACCAGAAGGTACATTGCAAACCCACTGTTTGAAAGGTAATGAATTCATATTGATTTAATAACGTGTTAGGTGAATTGATAATGACTTTATATTAAGTGGATTAATTTGGTAATTCTGAATTGGCTTTTGAAAGCCTGCAAGAGGCTGGGCACCATGGGTCATACCTGTAATCGTAGCACTTTGGGAGGCCAAGGTTGCTTGAGCTCAGGAGTTTGAGACTAGCCTGGGCAATATGGCAAAACTCCGTCTCTACACACACACACACACACACACACACACAATTAACTAGGCATGGTGGCACATGCCTGTAGTCCCAGCTGCTGAGGAGGCTGAGGTGGGATCACTTGAGCACAGTGAGCCATGATCATGCCACTGCACTCCAGCCTGGGTGACAGAGCCAGACCGTGTCTTTGTGTCTTTTATTTATTTATTTTTTTTGAGATGAAGTTTCACTCTTGTCACCCAGGCTGGAGTGCAATGGTGCGATCTCGGCTCACTGCAGCCTCCACCTCTCGGGTTCAAGCGATTCTCCTGCCTCAGCCTCCCGAGTAGCTGGGACTACAGGTGCATGCCACCACATCTGGCTAATTTTTTGTATTTTTAGTAGAGACAGGGTTTCACCATGTTAGCCAGAATGGTCTCAATCTCCTGACCTTGTGATCCACCCGCCTCAGCCTCCCAAAGTGCTGGGATTACAGGCGTGAGCCACCATGCCTGGCCAGACCGTGTCTTAAAAATGAAAAAACAGGCTGGGCGTGGTGGCTCATGCCTGTAATTCTAGCACTTTGGGAGGCAAAGGTGGGTGGATCACCTGAGATCAGGAGTTTGAGACCAGCCTGGCCAACAAGGTGAAACTCCATCTCTACTAAAAACACAAAGTTAGCCGGGCGTGATGGTGGGTGCCTGTAATCCCAGCTACTCCAGAGGCTGAGGCAGGAGAATCGCTTGAACCTGGGAGGTGGAGGTTGCAGTGAGCCGAGATCGCACCACTGCACTCCAGCCTGGGCAACAAGAAAGTCCGTCTCAAAAAAAAAAAAGCAAAAACAAAAATAAAAAAGCAAGTCCACGAGGCAAGAAGCCACAGTTCTAACTGGTTTTTAAATTCCTCCTAATGTCCAAAGTGGAGCACAATGGATGTGTTGGTCAGAAGCCACTTCCTCTCCTCTTCCAGGAGCGTGGGCAGTGTGTGTGGAAGCTTCCTGGCTGTTCATTGAGGTCCTTGTGGCCAAAGGATTTTCCTCCATAATTTGACAAGGCCAATATCACTTCCCTAATCCTCTCCAGATGACTTCAAATGGTTGACAGGGCTTGTTTAAACAAAGCATTAGCCTGGTCATAACCAGTTACCACAGGCCTGGGTCCCACTGCAGTGGTTCCCAGCAGGGCCTCTTTGTCTTCTCTGTGAATTGAAGTGAAGGAAGGACTTGATATAAGAACATTCAGGGAGGCCGAGGCGGGCGGATCACTCGAGGCCAGGGGTTCCAGACCAGCCTGGGCGACATGGTGAGACCCCGTCCCTACTAAAAACACAAAAATTAGCCAGGCATGGTGGCTCAAGCCTGTAATCCCGGCTGCTAGGGAGGCTGACGCAGGAGAATCCCTTGAACCCAGGAGGCAGAGGTTGCAGTGAGCCAAGATTGTACCACTGCATTCCAGCCTGAGCGACAAATCAAGGCTCTGTCTCAAATAAATAAATGAATAAATAACATTCAGATATTTTGTCATAACTTATAAACAGCTTAGTAATAAACACCACCTCATATTTGGATACTGTGCTTTCACAGAAATTATTTCATTTTAAAAAACTTCGGTTTCCCCTACCATCCTTGTGGGAGATAAGGAAAGTCCTGTTTAGAGTCCATTTTCCAGATGAGAAAATTGAGGCTTGGAGACGCTAGCCTGCTCCAAATCAGTTCCCTCCTACTTAACTCTACAGATTGTGGCACATGTGTGTTTGTTGTTTCTGTGTGTCTGCGATGGTATTTGTGTAGAGATACGGATTTTTTTTTTGGAGGGAGGAGGTACAGAAATAATTAACAAAATGATACAAAAAAGAAAGTAAGTGACTGGATGCAGGCTCACACCTGTAATCCCAGCACTTTGGGAGGCCGAGGCAGGCGGATCACCTGAGGTCAGGAGTTCCAAGACCGGCCTGACCAACATGGAGAAACCCCATCTCTACTAAAAACACAAAATTAGCCAGGTGTGGTGGTACATGCCTATAATCCCAGCTACTTGGGGGGCTGAGGCAGGAGAATCACTTGAACCCGGGAGGTGGAGGTTGCAGTGAGCCGATTGCACCACTGCACTCCAGCCTGGGCAACAAGAGCAAAACTCCATCTCAAAAAAAAAAGAAACAAGCAAATAAACAAAATTAATGAGGGTATGGAATGAGAAGAAACACATCAGACTGAGGAAATCTTCATAAAACTGAGAAGATTTGGAATGTTTTGAGGAATAACAATGTGAGTTGCTCAGCTAAGGCAGCATGAGGGCTGGCTGGCAAATTCATGAATATTTGAAGTCAGCACACTTGCTGCTCCAGCATTTGGAAGATGTGCAAATGCCACACTATCCACACTATCTTGCCAGAACGTGTCTTCTTCTTCTTCTTTTTTTTTTTTTTTTGAGACAGAGTCTTGCTCTGTCACCCAGGTTGGGGTGCAGTGGCTTGATCTCAGCTCAAGTAGCTGGGATTACAGGTGCATGCCATTGCACCCGGCTTTTATATTTTTAGTAGATTCGGGGTTTCACCATGTTGGCCGGCTTGGTCTCAACCTCCTGACCTCAGGTGATCCGCCCGCCTTGGCCTCACAAAGTGCTGGGATTACAGGAGTGAACCACCACGCCCTACCCAGAACATGTCTTCCGTGTTACAGAATTTGTACACTGGAACAGGGTGGAACAAGGAACAACACTTCAAGTAAATGGGTTTTAGAATCTTTCTTTAAATAAATGTGAAAGACAGAGAAAAAGAGAGAGAGAAAGAAAGAGAGAGAGATGGAGTCTCACTATAATGCCCAGGCTGGTCTCAAACTCCTGGGCTCAAGAGATCCTCCCTCCTTGGCCTCCCAAAGTGCTGAGATTATAGGCATGAGCCACCATGCCTGGCCGGTTTGAGAATCCTTCGTGTTGAATTTAACCAAAAGCTTATTTCGGGGAACCTTGTCGTATCCTCCCAGCTCTGCATTCCTTCTGCCCTATGCCTTTATCACAGGTGCTCTGTTATGGCTAAAAGGAGTGACCCAGGACGTGTGCATCCTAGGAGGGTCACGAGATCGAGCAGGGGCCTTGGTGTTCCCCGAGCCCTGTCCTGTGCTGATACAATCCAGACAGGTTGGCCCCTTGTCCCCTGCTCTTTGTGTTCTGAAGTTAAAAAAACAAAACAAACAAACAAAAAAAACCAATTGTGCAACTCAAGTCTGTCCTGGTCTGTTTACCAAGCACTGGAGCATGTGCTTGGCGTGAGTCACGTGGTGAACTTCCAGGTCAGCGACTGTTTACTGGCAGCTGCTGGCTGGCATGCCTCCTCTGCACAGCTGGTTCTGATAAGTCCCACAGTAGTTTGTTAGAGAGGACCGAGATGGTCCCACACACGTGGTGTGAGGGGGCTCTTCCTGTCCCAGGACGTGCTCAGGGAGACTCAGCTGGTTTCTGAAATCTCTTTTCCAGCCTTTTCCCTGGAAGGCTCAGGAATCAGTTTTGCAGATTTATTCCGGCTCATCGCTTTCTACTGCATCAGCAGGTAAGGCCTCTTCTTCTCATACGATTTCAAGGCCCTGCTCAGTGTGTGGGATATAATTAACCTGAGGTTTCCTGAAGGATCTAGAAGCCTGGGCACCTATTTGATGTTGGTGGATTAAGACCAGCTGTTTAAGTAAAATGTTCACCAAGTAAACAGGTTCACCAAGTTCTCACCATGCCAGGCTTCAGGTCAAAACCACTACCCCAGCCCCTCCAGACATAAATTCTCCTTCATATGATTATCTCTTCAAGCTGCTCCCAAGGCTCCTTTCAGCCAGACCCATCAAGCAGGAAACACACACATACATGCACATATGTGCACACGCACACACATGTACACACGGGCACACACACATACACACAGAAAGGGACTGTGCATGCAAACCTGTGACATTGAAAGTTTCATGATAATGCTTCTGAAAACTCTGCAAGGGATGGAGGTCATTCTACAAATATGGGTTCCTTCAACCAGCCCATCAGTTTTGTCCTTCAGGCCAACTAGGTGCTCATGTCCTTTTCATAACCAAAGCAACTGTTTTGTTCTACATGATATGAAGTCCAAAATCATCTTTTTTTTTTTTTTTTTTGAGACAGAGTGTCACTCTGTTGCCCAGGCTGGAGTGCAGTGGCACGATCTCGGCTCACTGCAACCTCTGCCTCCCGGTTCAAGTGATTCTCCCACCTCAGCCTCTCGACTAGCTGAGACTACAGGTGCCTGCCACCACACCCGACTAATTTTTTGTAATTTTAGTAGAGATGGGGTTTTGCCATGTTGGCCAGGCTGGTCTCCAACTCCCGACCTCAGACGATCCACCTGTCTCAGCCTCCCAAAGTACTGGGATTACAGACGTAAGCCACTGCGCCTGGCCCAAAATCAGAATATTAACCAGAGTCAACAGGGTGTGCATTGTGAAAGGCTTTCTTTTCTTTTCTTTTTTTTTTTTTTTTTCCATTTTTTTCTTTCTAGCAATAACAGTGTTTCCACATCAAGTGTTTTTTCAGTAACTAAGAATCAAAATTCTTAGGCCAGGTGCGGTGGCCCACACCTGTAATCCAAGCACTTTGGAGGCCAAGGCAGGCGGATCACCTGAGGTCGGGAGTTCAAGACCAGCTTGACCAACATGGTGAAACCCCGTCTTTATAAAAAAAAAGAATCAAAATTCTTGTTATCTGCGGGGACTGGCATTCTGCAGAGACTGGCCTTCTGTGGGGACTGGCATTGCCTCCCCTTACAGGACTGAGCTCAATTCGGCCTCCTTTTCTTCTCTGTCTGCCCATGACAGCTGATATGGCAGAGACAGGTTAACTTGCTATTAAGATGTTTTAAAAGATCACTTCTCACAGCTATGACATTATAGGCTGGGGAGTTTATTTAGGTTTGGCTTGGTTTATTTTAATTTAAGGATTAGGTTGTTTCTCAAAGACTGAGCACCTGTTGACTAGACTCTGCCAGAGGGTAGAAGGCATTATGCTTTTTTTTTTTTTTTTTTTTTTTAAAAAAATTTTACTCTTGCTGCCCAAGGTGGGGGGGAAGGGGCAATGGCGCAATCTCGACTCACTGCAACCTCCACCTCCCGGGTTTAAGCGAATCTCCTGCCTCAGCCTCCTGAGTAGCTGGGATTACAGGCATGCACCACCACGCCTGGCTAATTTTTATATTTTTAGTATAGACAGGGTTTCACCATATTGGCCAGACTGCTCTTGAACTCCTGACCTCAGGCAATCTGCCCGCCTCAGCCTCCCAAAGTGCTGGGATTACAGGCGTGAGCCACCGCGCCTGGCCAGGAGGCACTAAGCTCTTTACTCTCTGAAGTCTCCAGGTCAACTGAAGCTACACAATAAATGGCCTGAGGAAGGGGAGGCACTTCCAGAGGAGGAATTCAGTGCTGCTCACCAGCCAGCCAAAAATCAGGGCCTCACTGAGAATGGGACCAGTACCTAGGAGCACCTCCCAAGGGGATGCCTTGTGCCTGCCATGATTTGGGCAGAATCCCTTAAGCCTGTGTAAGGAAATGTGCTGCCCAAAGAGAGGAGGCTGGTGCAGAAGCACAGCTCCCAACACACACACACACACACACACACACACACACACACACACACACACTCACACGAGGGACCCACACCTGGTTAGGCCAGACCAGGCCTAAAGCCAACCAGCTTGGAGGAATAAGTCTCAATGCTAACATGTTGGCCAGAGGTGATGTCAGTTTGATATTTACTCTTCACAATTTGCTTTTCGGTAATTGTGGAGTTGTTGGGAAAAATCATTACACCTACAAAACAATATTTGGCAATAGCATAGAAAAGATATCATCAGTGTTCATGGCAAACTGGAGTCCCTGCTGTCCAGGACTGTTTGAAGATGCAAGGAGATAAGGTATATGAAAGCCTTGTAAACTGTAAAGCATGATCCCAACATAAGGTTCTCACAGGAAAACTCCAGCGCAGATGTTTTGCAGCTAGGAAGGCCATGATTAATTTCCCCATTCATTCCAAAATGCAAAGATATTGGATGTTTTTGTTTCTCTTTCTATGCAACTCATCTGTGTTCTTGGCAATTGGTAGTTGATTTGCCCAGTGTTACAAGAATATTTGTGACATCTTTTAGTTGGCTATTAGTATGTAAATATATTCAAGTAAAGAAATTGATTGGATTGTCGGTTCTGGTGTTTCACACAGCACACATATGCAAATACGCATTGCATAAGAGAATTCACGAATCAACAAACATAGGATTTGCCATATTGGGAAGGCTCACTGAAAAGTGTCATCGGCAATACAAATAGCGACTGCACACCTTCACCCGCAATGCCTGGCACCGTTCTGGTGATTTGGTGTCATCAGTGTAGTATCAAGAGTACGAGAGTCATTTGGGGTCTTGTTAAAATGCAGAATCTGATTCAGTGGGTCTGGGGCGGTACCTGAGATTCTGCATTTCCGCCAGGCTTCCAGGGGATGAGGCTGATGCTGCTGGTCCTCAGACCAGAATAGAGGAATAGAGGAAATAATAATTTTAGGGGTCTTCTATATCTGTGCTGGCACCATACATATGTATTTCTCATCCTCACGGCAACTCTGTAAATTAGGATGATAAAAACACTGAGGCAGAAGGAGTGAAGCACATGCTCACAGTCATTCAATCAGTAAGTGACAGTTAGAGGACTTGAACCCAGGCCTGCCTTAATGCCAGAGTCCCTATTTTCCCACCATACTATTCAGCTGCATAGACCTTAGGGTCCAAGGCACCTGGATTTCAACCCTCACTTCACCTCCATTAGCGCTGCGAGGGTGTCCTAGGGACCTCACTTGTCTGCGTTATCATCTGCTCCTAATCCACAGAATGGGGGCGTCACAGCTTCCTCCCCGGGCTGTTCCAGGCCCCACATGAGTTACAGTGCCTGCTGCAATGTAAAAGTAGTTGCTCGATGATCTTCATCCCCTCCCATTTAGAAATCTACATATAGAGCAAAGTTAAACAAAATAAATCTAGACTGTACATGGTTTAACTCTTGGGCGAAACATTTATATCTAAGATGATGGCTTTAGTTTGTTATGCAAGCTTTAGAATTGAGGCTCCTTTCTTTAATAGGATGTAAGTGAGAAGGTCTCCCCATGTGTGTGAGAGAGTATATGTGTGTGTGAGAGAGTATGTGTGTGTGTGTGCATGTGTGTGTGTGTGCATGTGTGTGTGTGAAGATGGTGGGATACACCCTGGTTGGCACAGTGGGGGAGGACGCATATACAACATCTAATTTTCTAGTAGATCAAAGCCTGAAACCATCCATTAACCAAGGACGGGTATGGCTTCCTGTCATATATCATTAAGAAAAACCCAAACAAATCACATGATGTTTAAGCTCCAGGTACTGTACTGAGCAAGGTAAAAGCTAATATAAACATAGGTTGGTCTTGATGTATGCAGCTTTCCCCGCAAATTGTCTGAGGAAAGTAGATTTTAATTACGTTGGTCCAGCCACACAAACATATATTTACAGGGTAGTTTGGTGTTACAAGGTTCTGGTTCCCATTAATCTTCATTTGAGATTATCATCAGGGTTGCCGCCCTGCCAGGTCAGGCAGCAGCCATTACAGACATAGTCATCCCCTGCAGTGCTGGCTGCTTCATCTCAAGCAGACACAAGTGGACAAGCAAAGGGGGTGCTCACAACACTTGAGGACAGGTAAAAGGTCTCATGGAAAGAAGAGGTGGCCTGACCCCCAAGAAGAGTAGTCGCCTGGCTTTACATGAGCACAGGAGTACGGTGTCAAAACATTCTTGTTTTGCTCTTTTTGCTGACTAATTTGTTAGTCATTGTCAACAGCTTCCATGGCTCCAAAATTCTCCAGTCGTGCAGATTTAATCTGGTTCATCCAAGAACGTTGCCTAATTTTACTATAAACAATAGGTTGCTTGGTATCGTTATTGTCAGTGGAAATTCTTAGCACATCTCATGATGACAAAATACAAGCAGGAGTTCCAAGTTTTGTTCCTTACTAGCACCTCCCAGCCACAGTGGCCTCCTTGCTGTTCTTCAGCCATGCCAGACGCTCCCCACCCCAGGGCCTTTGCACTTGCTGCTCACTCTGCCTGGAAGGTGCTTCCCTTCATGATTTACCTCTTGGCCACCATCAGATCTTCAGTCAAATGCTGCCTGCTCATGAAGCCCTGCCTGGCCACCTTCACACTCAAACACTCTGTTCTCCTTTCCTGCCTCACTTTCAGCCATGTCGTGCATCTCCTTCTCGTAGATTCTGTAAATTGTGTATCTGTTTATTGTCTATCGGTGTCCCCTGACATGAAGCTCCATGAAGGCAGGGACTTCTGTTTTGTTTCCAACCCCTGATGCAACGTCTGGCACATCGCAGATGATCACAAACATCTGTGGAATAAATGAATGAATAATTCTTTGTTTGTAAGACCATTACCGCCACTGGCGGGGGCAGGGGCAGTAATGGTAAGACCATTACCACCACTCAAAACTCTTTTTGAGTAAGTCATAGTTATTGAATATTCATTCATTCATTCAAAAGCACTTCCTGCCTGTGTCAGGAGAGTGTTGTGCTTTGTCCTGCAGGGAATTCACCAGTGCTTACAGCATGGTCCTAACCCTTGTGTATGAACACGAGCACATGTTTAAGTCTGCCTTTGCCCTTTCCAAGAAAGCAAGTCATGGCCCATGGCTGTGGCAGGCCCCTGATGCTGGCTGGGCTCCCTCCTGTTGGGTCTGTTGCTCTCTCTGTCCTGTGTGTTTGTCATCTGCACATGGTGCCATGCTGCTTGGGTGCTGGGGGTTGTTGGCATGAGAGGCCTTAGACTTGCTTTCCTATTCAAAGCCCAGTCCAGGGTCTAGCAGCATCAGTATCCTCTAAGAGCTTGGCAGAAATGCCAGATCTCCAGTCCCTCCTGGATCTCTGGAATTGGAGTATGCAGTATAACAAGACCCTGGGCATCCATCTGCACTTTATTTTTTATTTTAAAAAGTTTATTTAAGATGGGGTTTCCCCATGTTGGCCAGGCTGGTCTTGAACTTCTGACCTCAGGTGATCCACCCACCTCAGTCTCCCAGAGTCCCAGGATTACAGGCGTGAACTACGGCGCCCTGCCATCCGCACTTTAAAGTTAAAGAAGCTCTGCCTTCAAACAGAGGAGAAAGTTTTGTCTCCAGCAAACCAAGGCCAATGTGTGGGCTCTAATTGGAAGATTTCATAAGTCAAGCCAACAGGTGTTCATCGAGAGCCTGCCATATGTAAAGCAATGGGCTAATTCATCTCAGTTTAGGACTCCATATTCCTGCCCGGGCAGTTTGGACCCAACATTCATGTGGGCATGTAGTGAATGTTTTATATGCATGCTAGATCTACCAACAGAGTCAGCATTTCTGATGTAAACTCTACATAACTTTTGGCTACTGAACAGGACAATGTGATCCCTACTTTGATATGAAACTATGCTGCTTTTTCTCTCTGCCTGTCCTGAGTGTGATAACACAGACAGGAATAGTAAGTGTTGAGTTCTACCTCCAGGAAACATAACTTCTGATTGGTGTGGTATGGTGTCTACTTAGGACATTCTAAACAGTTTAAACTACAACATCTCTATGATGAAAATAAATACAAGAGATAGAAACCAGACATGTAATCAGAAACATTCTCTCTTTTTCTGAGCAATCAGGGATGTTCTGCCGTTTACCTTGAAGTTGCCTTATGCCATTTCAACAGCCAAGTCGGAGGCTCAGCTTGAAGAACTGGCCCAGATGGGACTAAGTAAGTGTGAGCCCCCTGCCTGGGTCTATCTAAAAATGAATCCATGGAGCAGAATCAATGGTGGGCTCGCTGAGGCTACATTGCTTCGTCAAACACATGTATGGTCAAAAATAATTCCCATCTTCCTGGAAAAACTCAGCTTTCAGGTCCCTGTAGTCCCTGAATCACACTTTCTGAGATTCTTTTTCTACATCTATTGGTCTGCCAACTCTCAAAAAGATTGGTGCTGAGTTTGCCTCGGTAACTCTTGAATGTCTCCAGCTTCTCCATCAATGAGTTTGGGCTATCCAAAATGTTGAAGTTCTAATGCAAACATCTGTAACGTGTTGGCGTCTTCCCTTTCTGAGGCATCTTGCTGGGGAGAGACAGAGCTTGGCTGAAAGGGAAACCCAATGTAGTACATCCTGCATGCATAATTTTTTTCTTTTTTTGAGGGGCACAAGGGCATTGACAGCACTTCTGTGCTTTAAGGAATTTGACAGCGCAGACATCTAGAGTAACATCTGTTCCACTTCCTCTCTCGCCGTTCAGTTCTCATTCTGCTGTTCCGGGCCATGTCCTAACCCTGTCGTGGATCCCTGCTCTGGCAGCTGGGTACTTGCTTCCCCATCCTGCCTCTTTACCAATGTCCCCTAAGTCCCCATGATTCTGTGGGACAGTGGTGGACAATGGATCTCACCCACTTTAACTTCTTTTCCCCATTGCCCTGAAGGAATCTACGTGGGTTTAGCTTTTGCAAAAAATGTTCCACCTAGATCAAAGGATGAAATTCTCTTAATATTTAAGGACTTCACTCACTGTGATACTTGACCCAGCAAATAAAAGATATATGTATTCCGCCTTGGGCTTTTTTTTTTTTTTTTTTTTGGAGATGGAGTCTCGCTCGTTGCGGCTCTCTCCCTCACCTCCTCTGGCC